ACCTTTAGCCCCCCCCCCCCCCCCCCCCCCCCCCCCCCCCCCCCCCCTGGGCGGACTCGCAGGGAATCTCGCAAGCCGTTAGCGGTGGCCTCCTCCCTGCCAAGCGATATCGGCACTGAGAAAGACGGCGGCGGCAAGACTGCCGTGGGGATGACTGCCGGCGCCGCAGCGACGGGGTTGCACGATGGGGGTGACGGGGTTCGAGGGCTGGTGTCCCCGACTAGTAGCAGCTCCGCGCGCATGTCGCGGTCTTACATGACGCTGCTGGCGGCCGCGGCGGCGGAGGAGACCACCAAGGGCCGCCGTCAGCAGGTACGTGTTGTCTTGTTGTTGTCGGTGTTGGTGATGTTTTTTGTTGCCGTCGTGGGCAGTGTTGTTGGTGTGTATCTGGTGTTTATCGTGTGTCCTGTGCAGTTTTTTATTCATTTTTTAATGGGTGCGTTTCGGTGGGTCAATCCATGGTCCTAACCCTAACCCTGTCAAGGTTTTATTGAAATATACGTCCAGGGATCTTCGAAAGTATCGGTTGGTGTTTGCTTCTAGCTCAGAGTTTGTCATTCCACACTCTTGACCAAGTATTTTTTATTTTCTGCTGGTCTTTGTTCGGCTAGTTTACTATTTCTACAGCCTAGGATGTTCAATGTTTTTCTGAGGAATCGGCCCCATCACTTTCGCACTGTCGGTTAACCAGGGGGCACGTTTGCACCTACACTTGTTTGTCATCCATCCTGTCTTTCCAACGACGACATTTCCCATGCATCTCCCGTAATGTGTCCAACCCATGTGCCCCGTTCTGGCCAGGGGGGTGGTGTTCCAGGTCGCGGAGCTGCGGAGGTTTCCGCTACAGAGCAGGCGTTTCAACCCTTAACGGTGGAGGGCAGGCTCAGGCAGCTGGAAGCCGAGAACTTGAGGCTTCGATTTCGAGTGGCGGACCTCGAAGGCCAGGTACTAACGCAGCAGTGGCGCGCTCACTCGTGTATTCATATTGTCGTATGTACATTCATGTTGTCATGTTGTCATGTGTACATTCATATTGTCATGGGTGCATACATATTGTCACATTGTCATATGTACATTTATTACCGGTGTTTGAGGGTGGCCATGGTGGGGGTGGGCCGATGTCCAACCGTTGTATTTTAGTCTGTACCAACGGTAGGACGACGAAAAATTGTCCGGAGTTTTTTTTTTGTTGCAGGTGAGTGTGATGGAGGACGAGCTCGACAGGCGAGGAGTCGCCCGCCCGATGATCGCAGACGCAAACAGCAGCAGCAACACCGAGAGTTGCAGAACCGGCAACGCCGGCACAGCGGTTGTTGCTTCCGCTGGCGACAATAGCAACGCTAGCCCTTGCCGGGTGAAGGTGGAGGCAACAGGTGCCGCAAAGACTGTAAAAGCAGCAGCAGCAGCAACAGCTGCAGCAGCGACATCACCCAAGTCGAGGGGAGTTGAGGGGCAAGGAGGGGGAGAGGCCGGGGCGGGGATGGTCAACGACGGTCCCCTGTTGTCCCCCCGGGGTAGGGGATACCTGGCGAGGCTGGTGCTGGAGGTTTGCTCGGAGATCGAGGACAGTAAGAAGGTGGGTGTGGGCAGATTAGATGGAAGGGAAACACAATGTTTTTCTTGTGGAAAATTCCAGCTCGGCAGCAAGACGGTTCCGATGTACGAAGTAGCAAACTAGAGATTTGCTCAGAGATTGAGATTGAGATTTGAGATTGAGATTGAGATTGAGATTGAGATTGAGATTGAGATTGAGGATATAACCAAGGTGGGTGTGGGTAAGTGGTTGCGCTTGAGGGGCATATCGAAAAGAGGAGGCGGAACCGAGAGTCAGAAAGAAATATGGGCCAAAATGGGCAAAAAAATATTCTTGCCGAGAAAAAAAAAAAAACATGGTGTTGTGAAACACGTCCTCCCCCCCCCCTCCCGTGTCGGAGCTTGGCTTGATTACTTAAAATACGCGCAACTTTTGATGCATACGACGCAACATCTTCATTTGCTTGGTGTACTGTATTGTGTATGTGTGGTTTCAGTAGGGTGCTGTGCTTTGGTTGCTCACCAGGTGTTGTGTGCACTTTCTTCAAAACCCTCTACATTTCTGGTCTTTTTTTTTTTTTTCGGGGAATACCATGTGGTATTCTTTTTTTTTCTCCCATCATTGGACTCTGTCGTCTGCCCCTCTGGCCCCTATCCTCCGCTTCGGCTAGCTAGTCGACCCAACCGGTGTCACATGGGAGGGGGGGGGCTGGACCCCCTCCTGCGGTTTCTGCCTGAGATATTTTTTCGCGAGAAGGGTACGGCAATCCCTTCCCTCGCGACTTACGAGGTCGATTATAGTTTGCTAACAACGAGCTTTGCAGCGCGTCGCTTTCATCCTAGACCAGGATTCACTTAATGAGAAAAAACTCAATCTGCCGGGACTCGAACCTATGACCTGGCCCTCAGCAGGCTGCGAGGGTACTCAATAGACCATTGGGGCGATCTTCGTCCGTATTTTTTTTTTCATTCTGTCTTCTCATGGTGATTCTGACGCGATTTTTTTGCACAACTGCTGGAGAAGGCGGCTACGGAGGCTAAGGCTAAGGGAGGAGCCAGCACGAACACGGTGTCTACAAGGGGCGAGGGGATCACATCACGGCCGCGCTCGATCCCGCACTCAGAACGCCTGTGCAAGGTGCTGCCGAAGGTGATGGAGACGGCCATCAGAGGGGTCAAAGACCTTGACGAACAGGTGTGTAACAGATAATAGACAGCAGATAACAGATGCCGTTGTTGTTCCTATTGGCATAGTGTTGGTAGTGTTACTAGTAGTTGCATCGATGTTGCCGTTGGAGTTTGCTTGGCGGTGTGTTGTGGTCCTCGCATCCCAGAAGAGGCACGCAGGTAGCAATGCTAGCTAGGGTAGGGGGGTATTCCCACCTTCCAGTCGTCCCACACCCTACTGTTATTGAAAGGTACATACCGTATCCCCTACCTGTCCCTGATGGCAGCTGCTGTACACCAACACATGCCTTACTTTCACCTTGCATCTCGCCTTAGATAACGTAACACTACTACTGGTGACCCCGCTCCGGAGGCGCGCCATGCATACCCTCGTCAGCCATGCTCGCAACACCACTTGCCCCTTTGCTTTTTTTTTTGTGTCCTTGCCGAGTGCAGGTGTTCGAGCAGATGATGCGAACGGCCTCCGAGCGGAGCAGCGGCATGTCCATGTCCATGTCATCGCTGTCCTCCCCCGCCCACGGTGGCAGCCTGCCGCTCGGCACCCCCGCTCGCCGCCTCTCGAGCTGCGTGGTGGCAAGGGACGGAGGGGGGGAGTTCTTCGCCCAGAGCCCCGCCCCTGGCCGGCCTGCAAGCTTCTTCAGGTGCGTTTTTGGAAGCCAATCCGCGGACCTCATCCGCGGATCGTGAAACGGAGTTGGTGCCCCCCCCTCCCTGCCCCAACACGTGATCGCACGTCTCCTTCTGATGGTGCTTTGGCTGGAACCAGCGTTGAACACGATTAGCGTATGGTGACCAATGGGGATCACGCGCTTCTTATTTCCTTCCCCTTTCTTTCCTCGTTGCAATGACCATGTCAACCTGACCACTGACTGCGGCAGGCTTATGGGAGAGCCTAAGACTCCTGCCAGAGGGGACGGTTCGGCTCTCAGACGAACTTCCAGCGGTTCCAGCGGCAGCATCAAGGTGAAGGGCGAAGGGGTTGGGGACGCCTTCCTTGGGTAGGACTGGCGATGATGTTTCACGGTGTTTTTGTTTGTTGTTGGTATCGGTGTATCGGTATAGCGACCACAACATCACGTTGCACCGCCCCACCCCGGCAGCATAACCGAAAAAAATTCTTAGTTCGGTTTAGCTACCACGTTTTATCATGACACCAGCCAGGGGTCCCTAAACCGACCCCCCCCCCCC